GACGGCTCGGCCGCTGAGACTCGAGTGGTAGTGGGGGTCGCTCGCCGGAATCAGCCCGAAATGTGCATCTAGTGCCGAGCACTGTCCTATTCACTCTACTAAGCGCGTTGGAGTGAGTAAGAGCCACGGTAGGAGCATTGAAAAATATTGGAGCATGCGACGCGACAAACCTATGGAGTGAGCACCGTGGTTCAAAATTGTGTCCAAGGGTGCGTTCCGAGTTACGCGTGAAGCGCATAATGCATCATTTGTCCTTGTCGTTCACCAAATAATAAAGAAGGATAAAACGATACATCGTGCGCTTTATGCGTCACTTGGAACGCACCCCAAGATGCGTATGAGAGAAAAATATATATAAAGATGCATGTAAGGAGGACAGATATATACATGGAACATTCGTTCTCTCTGCGCATACTTTGAAATGCTGATAGTAAAGGCCATCAAGCTGGTTCTACATTAGTCGCATCGCAGCGTCGCTTTATGCACTAGCTTGCGTTGGCATCTTGGCATGTCCTTAACAGCGACACTGAAATGAACATCTTTATCAGTTTTTATTTAGATCTACATCAGTTTACATCGCTGCTGAGTGTTGCAAACGTCGCCGTTACAAACACGATGATTCTACGTTAGGCGGAATGATGAAGGTCGAATTTCGATCATGTGAATCATGTCGACTCTCGTTGAGATCAACAGTGGCTCATACCCAAACGAGGATATTTGCGTTACCACTACAATCGAGCGAATTGACTCGACAGTAACATACAATGATTTCTTCTCGAAGTATCTAATGTGTAATAAGCCCTGCATCATCAGTTTTCAAGCAACCGAGAACTGGCCATGCAGACATGAATGGGTATTGAACGGTACGCCTAATTTCGAGGTGCTCCGCAAGCTGTTTGGTATGTGCAAAATGAAAGAAGGGAATGATTGCATTGTTTAGATTATTAATGTAATTTCTATTGCTCAGGACATTCCATTGTCCCAGTTGCTGATTGTAATAAAAAGTTTTATAATTCGCAATTCAAGAATAACATGCCTATGGAGAGTTACTTGGAATATTGGGCTGATTACAAGCGGAGCTATTATGATAAATCGATGCCATTGTTGTACTTGAAAGATTGGCATTGCATGAGAAGCTTCTCGAATGTTCCGATGTATGAAGTACCTCAGTATTTTGTATCAGACTGGTTAAATGAATATTACATTGCTCATCCCGAACTAAATGACGATTATATGTTTGTATACATGGGGCCAAAAGAGACCTGGTAAATATACTTTTGTTACAATTTTGTAAAATTTGTAGAGTCTGACCGAAACAACTTTTTTACCTTCGGTCGAAACCGAAAACAAATATTTGGTTTTTATTCAATTGCGGCCAAAACTGAAACCAAAACCGAAATTGGATAAATCTTACAAACACCATATGATTCTCAGTCATTTGAAAATGTCAAAATATGTGAAATTTATGTACTCAAATGTACTTAAAAATAAAATTTTATTAATATCTTATTATTCCTTATAATTACAAGGAATTTTCTATAAATTATAAGGAATTTTCGGCACTAGACTTGCGACGACTTGACTAGTAATACAGGATAAAGAAGGAAGTCAACTTGGTTTGCAGCAACCGGTGTCGATCAGCCGATGATAACATATAGTTTTTCAAATGCTCGCCGACGCGTTGCAATTTGTACAGTTTTGGTTCATTTACCGAAATTTTCTCTTCATTTCGACTGAAACCAAAATCAAATCGAAACTCTGATTTTTTATCGAAACTGACTGAAATCAAAACCGAAATTTTGATTAGACTCTAAAAATTTGTACCTTAAAGTTTAAACTAATGGTGAATTCGATCACTAGCACTGGATCAGGACATATTAAAAATTGCTTTATATAAAATATCTTAATGCAGTGATACATAAATATAATCAACTTTGACAATGAAATGATACATATATATTTTGTTAAATAATGTGACACAATATCATTAGTAGATAGTCAATCGTTTAAAATATTTATATACTTTTACATTTAACTTTGCTAATTTTATGTAAAGCAGCTTTTAGTATGCACTGATTTAGTGTACTGCAAGTGACCAAATTCACTATAAGTAATTTGCTATAAGCCACTTACAATCAAAGTTAGATGTTGGAATAAAATACGTCTATATGTACTTTTTAAATAAATTTATCTTAAATATATGACTCTATGCGCCGATTACTTTTGGATTTGCAACACAATTACAAACTGGAATAATAATCTCCCCAAATTAAATTAGATCATCAATTTGATTAGCATCTATAAATTGTGCGTGCGTGCGTGAGACTGATTTAACTGCTGCTGATAATGTTCAGGACTCCATTGCACGCGGATGTTTTTACGTCATATAGCTGGTCTGCAAATATTGTCGGAAAAAAGAGGTGGTTGCTCTTCCCTCCGCACGAAGAAGACCACCTTCGTGATCTTTACGGACAATTGGTATACGATGCGGTTTCAGAAGAACTCAACGATCATACGAAGTATAAAATGTACGATAGTGAAAAATTAAAATGTTTCGATGTAATTCAAGAAGTAGGGGAGATTATGTTTGTTCCATCTGGATGGCATCATCAAGTTTGGAATTTGGTAAATAATAACAGAATTTCACAAAAGGAGAATTTAAATTGTTGATTATTATGGTTGATAATTAATGGTAAATTAATTACATGTCGTCTTTTGTGCAGGAAGATACAATTTCTATTAATCACAATTGGATCAATGGCTGTAATATCGCCAATGTATGGTGTGCATTAAAAAAGGAATTAAGATCTGTTATGAAAGTAGTTGACGACTGCAAGGATATGAAGAACTGGAATGAACATTGCCAATTGATGCTAAAAACTTCTTATGGCATGGACTATAAACAGTTTCTGGAATTTATATCGTTTATTGCTAAAAACCGTTTACATGCTATGATAAAAAAGAGTCAAGTCATAAGTTTTAATAAATATCGTTTCGGACATAATCATTGTCTGTTTGATTTGCGAGCACTTAAAATCATATTGGAGAATATTATCACAGACGCGCAAGATCTGTCCGTGTACAATTTGATGTGTAAAAATGATGAAGCTCGCATTTTACTGAAAAATATTGCCTTGTTTCTTGATTCTTGTAATATTGAAAATGCAGTTTCTGCATGAATGTAAAATCCAATAAACTGTTAAAAAGCCAATTGTAAATTTTGTTGTAAATATAGCATGTACTTTCACAATTGATACCATGTCATTTTTATGTATGTGTGTCAAGTTTTATAAATCTCCCTCTCCCCCTTAACTTCATTTAAATTTTCTCTTAAAAGATAACATTTTGCAGAATTACTTATTTTAAAATTGTTTTTATACAATAAGCATTATGTTAGATGCCATCTAATCATAGCAGACACAAGTAAAATTTATAAGATAATTAAGAAGGAAATTATCAATTTAGAAAGAGATTGCAAATGCGTGAAACATACAGTATAGTAAAAAGCAATAATTATCTTCTATAGATTCTATAATGAATATGGCTATATTAAAAGCGTAGACATATGAATGAAATTTATTTTTACTCTTAAAAAATAATTAAACATAGAAAACGTAACTTTTTTTTCTTTAGGTGAATAAATCGTATACTACTCTCTAAATGTAAAGATTTACAATAAAAATTTGTTATCTGTATTCTCTCTATTAAGCTAAAGTGCAACCTAATCGTGGATACATTGTCTCTGCTGCTTATAAAATAATATCTCGCAAAACGCAACTTATATTATCTTTAACATATTGTCTTATTTACTTCTCAATTATGTAAGCATAAATATCCTAATTTTTAAAGATGGCGCGTGCGCATGTGTGCGCCTATATGCATGTGTACGTATATACACTAGCGTGCGTATATATGGTATTTTAATAAAAATATACAAAATTTCTAAGATATAAATATCACTTTTTCAGTGAGAAGTGCCCGATGTTGACATGTTGACAAATTGCCCAAACCACGAATTTTTAATAAAATAATTCAATAATGTATAAGTATACATTATTGGAAATTACATGTTCATGTAATTATAATATATAATTCCTAATAATATATTACTTTTGAATATGCATTTAGTCCTGTTATTCCATTTCGAATCCATCCATCATTTCAATATATACCCTAATATAGATATGCATGTAAAAAAGAATTATAGAAATTCATCTGTATCACTGTAACAGTACTCCAATTATTTCAATTAATTTCATAGAATTTATAAAATCTCTCCGAAAAAAATTTAAAAAATCATAGTTACATTATGTATTTCTTCTGTCTGTACGATATACCTGTATATTTATAATAAAAATGTGCTCTCTCATATGCAAGGAAATTCTATATAGTCTTTCATTCCTTTTTTTCACACAGCTACTTATAAACTGATAAAAAAATATTGCACCAGTAGAGAGCTATTTAAAACGAAATGGATAGCTAGCGATTCTTTCCTACATAGGTATACTCTCCATTACTAAAGAAAAAGATTGTCATGGTTAAAAAATATGATAAACAATTTTATCGCATTCGTTTCTCTTGATAAAATTTTTTTTCCGGCCACAAATAAGCGGAACTATAGGCAATACATACATCCTACATCCGCACACGTACATACATACAACATACATCTGTACATTTGTTATATTCATGTAAATCTAATTTTTTTCAATTTACAATAGTATCTCAATTTTTATCTTGCATAGCAAGTCTAATATTTAAAGCATCACATGTCACAAAGTCCAACGCATTCATCAACAACAATTAATCACTATTGCCAAGTTTAGACTTTCCGCAATGTGCACTTTTTTCTTGATAAGTAAACTCTTTTTATACGTTAGATGTGTACATTTCTCCTTTATAAATCCTTACATTTTACTGTTTATCATGGCTGAATAGAAGTAAACAACAGGCGTTTACTCCGCTGCTATAGAATCAAATAATAATGTTCATCAATCAATCATCAGTTATCAATTTCCACGAGATTATTTCAAAATGTAACTGATATTCATGTCGTCAATGGATTTTAGCATGAAATTAGGGATTCATCAGATATCCGGCAAATATCCGGTACTTTTTTACTATACGAATATCATTAGTATCCGGCTATATATACAGGGTAGGCTATTTTAATCAATACGCGCGAATATCTCGAAAGAGAAATTTTTTGAAAAAATTTCTCCTTTTCGAGATATTC